TAAGGAATCTCACATTCGTAATCATTTAGTAGCTCTACCCATCGTATTTGCCTCATGTTGAGTTCTTTTTGGTTAAGGATGTGCTAGAGACTTTTACGGTCCGTGAAGATTGTGCACTCCGTACCATAATGGTAGTGCCTCCAGATCTTCAGGGAAAATACTACTACTCCTAGTTCGAGGTCATGTGTTGTGTAGTTGACCTCATGAGTCTTTAGCTGTCTTGAGGCATAGACAATGATCTTTCCTCGTTGCATAAGTACACAACCTAGCCCTTGTTTGGACGCATCGCAGTAGACCACAAAATCTTTTGTCCCTTTTGGGAGAGACAGGATCGGTGCACTGCATAGGGCTTGCTTTTGCATTTGGAAAGCAACTTCTTGCTTCTCCTCCTACTTGAAGGTTACACCTTTTTGAGTCATGGTGGTAATTGGTTTAGCGATCTTGGAGAATTTTTGTATGAACCTTCGGTAGTAGCCAACGAGGCCTAAGAATTGACGAATTTCTTTAGGTGTTCTTGGTGCTGCCTAACTTTTAATTGTCTTGATCTTGGGGGGATATACATGTATCCCTTCCTTGATGACCACATGACCAAGGAAGTACACTTTCTATATCCATAACTCACATTTCAAGAAATTCGCATATAACTTCTCAGTCCTTAATGTCTCTAAAACTTGTCATAGGTGTTGAAAATGCTCTTATTCACTTCACGAATAGACAAGGATGTCGTCGATGAATATAATCACAAACTTGTCTAAGTAAGTCCGACATATGCAATTCATTAGGTACTTGAACACCGCGGGTGCATTTTTCAATCCAAAGGGCATAATTACGAATTTGTAGTGACCATAGCGAGTTATGAATGCTATTTTTGGAACATCTTCCTCCTGGACTTGTAGTTAATGGTACACCGACCTCATATCGATTTTTGAAAAATAGCTTGCTCCCTGAAGTTGGTCGAATATATCGTCAATTCGTGGTAGGGGATATCTGTTCTTGATAGTGAGTTTATTTAGTTCTCGGTAGTCGATACACATTCGGAATGATCCATCCTTCTTCTTTACAAACAGGACCGATGCTCCCCAAGGCGAGAAGCTTGGTCTGATGAATCCTTTGCTTAGTAGTTCATTCAGCTGGCTGGACAACTCCTGCATTTTTGCCAGTGCTAGACGGTATGGGGATTTGGCTATAGGGGTGGCTCCAAGAATTAGGTCGATTCGAAATTTAACTTGTTGCACAGGTGGTACTCCTGGAAGATCTTCTGAGAATACATCAGGAAAGTTACAGACATCAGGAATATCCTTGATTTCTTTTACCTCCTACTTCTTATCCACCACATGAGCTAAAAAGGTGTGGTATTCCTCGCGTAGATATTTTGTGCGGTAAAGGCAAACGACCTTTTTGTAACACATGATATCAGCACGGTAAAGACTTAGCCAATCCATGCCAATAATAAAATCAAAGTTTCTTATTGTTATTGGCATTAGGTCGATTTGGAAGGAGTGGTTGTTTAGGGTTAGAGTGCATCCTATGTACAAATCCTTAGTGCTTTCAGTTTTACCGTTTGCCATTTTTACTGTGAACATTTTGTTGAGTTATTGTGGTTTTTGATTGAGTATGTTTTTATATTTGTGGCTTACGAAACTCCTCTTTGCTCCACTATCGAAAAGTATGCATGCATATGAGTTATTGAGGAGAAATGTACCGGTAACCACTGTGCGGTCTTCAACTGATTCTTTGTGCCTTATGGCTAAAACTCTTCCCACACCGCCAGTATTAGTCTTTCTTGCTTTTGGGCACTCTCTTTTGAAATACCCGGTCTCCCCACATCCGTAGCAGGCTCGGCTTACCCCGACATTGGCGGCCCGTGTGATTGGTTGGGCTAGTGCGTTACATAAACGAGCTGTGTGCCCCCCCTTTTGTTGCAATTGTTGCAGTGCATTTCCCGACAAGCGCCTGTGTGGTGAAAGTTGCACTTGTTGCATTTAGGTAGGTTCCCGGCATATTTTGCTAATGGTGTTAGAGTGGCAGGGGTAGTGGCAACGTGAACAGTAACAATTTTTTGTCTCTTGGTGGGGGTCCTGTGTCGGTTGGTTCTTCTTTTTGTTCTGTAACTTTCTTTTATTGTCGCCCCCTTTCATTTGCTGGCGGACTCCGTGATTGATGAGTCTCTGGGCCAAGCGTTTGGCAATGTCAAAAATAATCGGGTTTAAAGCTAACATGTTCCATTGTATCTGGGGGATAGTCCCCATATGTATCTTTCCACATTTTTACTCTCCGGGGTGACCATCCCAGGACACAATACTACTAGATCACTAAATCTGGCAGTATAGACTGCGATGTCAGAGCCTGTCATTTTGAGGTTCCACAACTCCTATTCCAACTTTTGCACTTCACCCCTCGGACAATATTCTTCTAGCATTAAAATCTTCAAGTCCTCCCCGCTCATTGAATTAGCCACTGGGAGGATCAAGGACTTGACATGGCCGTTCCACCAGGTAAGGGCCCTGTCAGATAAAGTGCAAACTTCAAATTAGACTTTGCTTGCTTCGTGGTATGCACAAATTTCAAAGACTAATTCAGTTTCCTCGAACCATTGCATTAGAGTGATGACACCTCTGCTTCCATTGAAGTATTTGGGTTTGCCATTAGTGAAGTATTTGTAGGAACATTCTCTTGAGCGCCCTTAACTGTCTCCCTGGTTAGAATTTGTAGTACCATTTCCTTCCACACCGGTAGCATTGGTGCTGATTTGTGACATGGTGGCCGCCACAACGGCTGTTACAGCTGCTTGAAAAACGGAAGGGTCGAATTGTGGAGGCGGTGGCGGTGGTGGTGTTGTGGTGGGCCAGATAGACTGCAGGCCCGGTGAGGGAAATCCAGTATACTGTATACTCTATATGCATGTTGTTTACTTGCTATGTTATGGTTATCATTGTATGGCGTTGGTATTTTGCTGGAACTCACTAAGTTTCGGGTTTATAGTTTTGGATTTTGTTTCGGGTACTTTGGATGATTGCGGGAATGCGAAGGCTTGATTGTGCACCTCCTCACATTTTTATGACTTGATTTCTTGGATACTCTAATATGACACTATTTTGTAAGAAATAATGGATTATGAATGTTTGAAAAAAGTTTTAAATTTTTATGAATTTAATGGATGTTACACAACCCCTCCCGGCCTCCCTATGATCATGTAGCACCACTAAACACCCATCCTTTCACCCATTGGTCTGTTGACCACCATCGCAACCCCTCCCAATATCCTAACCCTCGGAAATGAAAACCTTATCCGCCAAGAAACCCTAACTTCATCCGTTATAGAAGCTCTGCCACCAGCGCATTGTTCGTAAGCGTTACCTCCAACAATTAGTCCTTCGTCACCTGAGTTATTTTGATTCTTTGTAAGCCCTTACTGAGAGATGATTCGAGGAACTTCATATAATAGGGTTTCAACCGCCACCCTTCTAGTTTCTAGTGTTTCAGCCTCCGTTTGGGGTTTCAGATGAAAATCTTACGACTAACAGGTTTGGGCAGCACTTGGGGAACATGAATGATTCAAAGTTAAAATATCTACTAAAAGTTAAATAATTACATAAAGTAAAAGTGGGGTTTCTCTGATTTAAAGTTTAGAAAACTTCTTAGCATTCAATTTTTAAACAACTTGAAAACAAACAAGTACTTAAACTTAAAACGAGCAGAAAACAATTTTAAAACAAATAAAAAGAGTGCTTCCATTTAGATTCGCACTCGCCTATTCCTTATGGTTGACTTTATCAGTAGTGAAATGGATTCAATTTATTTGTTTACCGATTCCTATACTGATTAATACACTATTCAAAGTACTAATCCTTTGATTTAATAAAACTATCAATTGCAGTGATCAAGTGAACTAATATTCATATATATATATATATATATATATATATATATATATATATATATATATTATATATATATATATATATATATATATATATATATCAGTGTTTAGTTCGAATCATGAAAGACTTGAATTCTAAATTGATGTCACTGATAGCGAATACCAATTATCAATATATGAATGATCATCACAAATAATCTAACACATTAAGCTTACCAATTTTTCTATTTAAGCCTAGGTTTTTGGCCAAAACCCTAATCATACAATTCTATAGTTCATAAAATCAAAGATTCAAGCATATAAAGATAGCTTGATCATCTAAACCTAATAATACTCAGCAATAAACAAAAAATATTGAAACTTTAACACACAAGGATCTTTATCAAGCAAGTGTAACGAATAAACGACTATATTAAATCTAAAATCTTCAGAATCAACGCATATGTTCAAGGTTTATCTACTCTAAACGAAAGTAAGGGTTTTTAGCACATAACTACAACAAAAAAAACAATAAATAAATAAATAAAACAAAGTAAATTTTGAAACACATGGTTAGAACAAAGCAAACCAAATGATTAATCGTGATTATACTCTCGATCTCTTCAAATCTAGCTCTACAATCGATCTCTAATATGCAAAGGCACTAAGAGGGTCCTCTAGTCGTCAATGATCAAATGAATCTTTTTGCATAAGTCACAGAGTGAGAAAAAGGTCGAATATATATATATATATAGTTTCCTTAAAAATGTTAGTCATGCTGTAGTGAATAGATGGACATGTTATGAGATCGATCCCCTCGTTTGTCCTTTAAGATTTCTAACGTGTTTATCGAATCAATACTCTCATCCATGATGTGGCAAGCATGTGACCACGCCATGGGACTTCAAAATCATCTACGTTTTGACTTTTGTTGATTCAATCCAGAAATCCTGCTTTTAGCTTCGCATTTTCTCTCTTTTTATCCCGAACATGTCTTCGCTGCTTCAAAACAGAAATTTAAACATTATATGTATCTTTTTATCTCTAACTAAGATGAAATGTAGCTAAAAATACTAACATGTCGTATAAAATATCCCCTAATCTAATAAATAAGTACTTTTTTTTTTTTCGCCGGTGGCATTCTCTTAGCCCCATTCAATTGATTTTTCCCGCTCATTTTCACCCCTAAATTTCCTCTACATACGGTTTCGTTTTATCTCACAAACAATTACAAGTCAGCCGCTCTTGGAGGAAGCTAGGGTTTTGAAACGAAATCATCTCCAAATCAATTCCTATAAACTAGGGCGACACGCTTGCTTCTTGTGTTCTCAAACGGAGACCCTTTTTGAGTTTTTTTTTCATACGCGAAATTACCACATATCTATTTGTGTTCCCAAATGCCGTCGAGGAAATCAGAATATTGATCGAAAAATGCAGTCAACAGAGCAATTGGTACTCGATCTCAGTAGTCCTGATCTTCGCGAAAACGCTCTTCTCAAACTCTCCAAGGTATGTTTACTTTGTGCACTTTCGTTGTGATGGATAACGTGATAATTTTATTCGTTTTTTAGGATTTAAATTCCATTTTTATCAAATTCAAATTCATCAGGTGTTTTGTTGATGTTTATTAACAATCGTTGTTTTCTCTTGAAGCATCCTCCTGCAATTTTCCCCAGAATAGTCGGTCATGAAGCAATGGGGTAAGGATTCATCGAATTTATTAATCCGCGCTTTCTTTTTTTGGGAAAATTTTAATCTGAAATCAGATTACACTCATCCTGTTTTTTTTTTCCATTAAAGGATTGTAGAGAGTGTAGGAGAAGGTGTACATGAAGTTGTCGAAGGCGACAATGTGATCCCAATCTTTTTAGTGGTGAATGTACAAATTGCTTGTCCCCAAAAAACAACCTATGTACAAAATTTCCTTTCAAAGTTTTTCCTTGGATTTATAGAGAAGAAACAAGCAGATTCACAGACATCAATGGAGAAACTTTAGTGAATACACAGTGGTTGACATTGCTCATGTAACTAAATATGTTCCAGCAACCCCACCAAATAGAGATTGCCTCTTAAGTTGTGGTGTATCAACTGGTAATTAAATTGTCTTCTTTTTTATTCTCTTTTTACTATGTTTATGATAAACTGATAACAAAGTCTATTTATACAAATTATGAATTTATGAAAATATGTTATATGCTTTCAGGGGTGGGTGCCGTTTGGAAAACAGCAAATGTGGAAGTTGGTAGTAAAGTGGCTATATTTGGCTATAAGTGCTTTCATTCTTTGAAAGTAGCTACTGAATTCAAAAGAAACATCATTCCTTTATGGTATCTGGTAATAAACAAAACAAGTGACTCCAATTTTTTTTAAGCTATTTGTCATTGAGGGCTTTGTTGTTTGGATTGATTTTTTGTTTGTTTTTGTTTTTGGATTTTTTTTAATAGTTATCAATAGTTAGTATTTTTCATCAGCCATGTTTTTAAAATGTAGTTTTTTTTTTTAATCTTTAATTTACAGGATCTGTTTGCTCAAATCAACAATATGCCATCTTAAATTAAAAGCTTCTCTGCTTCAACTACAAAACCATAGATTACAAAATTCACAGACTTGGATCTTAGCATGTGGAATTGATTATCTTCGGTATCATATCGATTACAAGTCTGTTTGACTTTAAAAATTAGAATAAAATGAAGGTTAATGTTAGAGTAACATGAACACTTGCTTTTTTTATTTATTGCTTTGAGATTTTAAAACAGTTTTTTTAATTGTTCTTTGGATTAAAAATAGCATTTTATAACATCTTACTTTACAGAAAAATAGTTTCTTTTATTTGCAACCTACTAGAAAAAGCATTGTACTTCATTTTTTACTGTTCTTGGATTGTAAAACACAATTCTTTTTTGTGTTCAAACACCATGAACACTTGCTTTTGAGCTATTGGCTGACCTTGGCTTTACATAATTATTTTTTTAATTCTATTTAAACTTAAAACATGTGGTTTCCACTTCTTCCATTTTTTTACTTGATGTATCAGCTTAAACATAGTTAAGCATTGAACAGACAAGGTGAAAAAAGAAATACTAGCTATTCTTGATGTTCTATAAATGAGATGATTTGATGATCCATAAGTAAGGAGTAACATTTACCCAATTACTTTGATTATTTACATTCATAAATATTTCTTTATGCAGATAGCAAATACACCCCCTTCATGTTGTTTTTGGTCATAATAGTGTTCAAATAGTTAAGTTTCACTTGAACGTGACAGGACTTGAAACAGTTAAGTTGGAAGGGAGGAACATTATGTGTAAACAGTTACAAATATACAATTAGGTGACATTAAATTGTTTTCATATAGAGGTAAATGAAAGAAGTAGCAAATAGTTATGGAGATTTGAATCCCGTGCGGAAACTGGAATTTAGCACTTTCAAGTTTATTCTCTTAACATTATGAATTTTTATCTTGAATGTAATGATTTTGTTTTTGTAAAATTAAGGTTTAAGGTTGTACTTTGGAGGGGCTTTTCCGTTAAAAAAGAATTTCACTAATATGGGTAAGACGAGAATAAACGGTTCAATTTTTATTAATCATACAAGCGGCAAAATGATTACGTTTAACACATTAGTTGGGCCTGGTTGTTGCTTTATGATGTTTTCAATTTAATGGTATACATTGTCTTATTTTTTTTGGTTCTGTTTACTGTAACTTTAGTTTTTTTAAGCTAATTGATGATCAGATACTGATTTCATCGTAGTTTTATAGAGCAATAACTATGTTTCTTGAATATTAGCATAAAAAAGTGTTTATATAACGAATTTACCTTTTTTTTTCTATGAGTTGAAGGAAAAACTAATAAGTAGAGATAAATGCTTGGTTTGTTGTTTTGTAGGTTGAATTTGCATGGAAAAGTTGGGTAAGTTTTGAATAATTTAATGTGATTATTTTGTCGGGCAACCTGTTTTTTGATGTGATATTACTATAGTTTATTAATTAAAGCGATCATATTAGAGATAAATATACATCACATGCTAATGTCCTTTCATTGATTTGTTTATTAAAGCAATCATATTTTCACTTCTTTCCTTCTTTTTAGTTCTTTCTTCCATTCAAGTGTTATTTTTTTGAAAAACAAGTTTTATTTTGCAATATAACTCTAAAATAACAATTTACTTAGAAAGTACATTGTTATAATTGATAAGCGTGAACAAAAACTCAGCCTAAACTAGAACCAGAAATCGAGCTTTGAAACTTAACCACACCATTTTTTATATTAAATAGTTATTAATATCAATTATATATAATTTTTTGTTGGAAAAAATCCATATGGTTAATACACTGAAAAAAAAAAAAAAAAAAAAAAAAAAAAAAAAAAAACTACTTTTGGGTTTCAAACAAAGTTGAAAACATCTATAACTAGAAAATAACAACAAAGTTCAAGGGATTAAAATAGATTAAAACAACAACAATTTCTATTAATCTAACGTGCAATCACCATTAACGATTAACAAACAGTAAAAAGTAATGTTTTAAAAATCTTCATTTGTAGTTAAATACTTACCATTTATTGTGTAATTAAATAATTACAAATAAATTTTAAATTCTATTTAACATTAACACCCATGGATCCCCACGAGTTTTCACCTAGTATGACTATATATAGATATCAGTGTTTAGTATTTAGGGGAAGTTCATTGATGGCGTATTAATAACATGAAGAAACAAATGTGTGTCATGTGCATAGCCCTCATATCTAACAGATTCAAAGGTAAAAAACATACCAAAATCTCAAGTTATCATTATATCAAATGTAGATATCCATTTTCTACCAATATAACACAATTGTTAAGTTTCATGGATGCATGAAACTAAAAATTTAAAAGAAAATTTTAATATAATACGATATGTATCTTTTATCATATTTGATGGATGAAGGTAAAAATTAAAAGGTTGGATCTTTCGGTCGTATAATGTCAACTGCTAGACCTTCGAAACTTTTTCCCCTAGAATTTATCGTCTCTAGAACTTCATGAAATGCTCTACTAATCATATATCATGATTATTGAAATGTCTCCACAACATCTCGATTGCACACACATAACGCAAGAGTGTATAAAAAGATCCCTAACTTTTCAATAACCATCATTTTATCACTTGACTCCAATCCATACTCTAATTCAAGTTCTTGATCAGCTAGTTTTAGGAAACATTTAGGTACATTCTAAATGCACAAACACATCGAGTAGGATGTCCATTTAAAAGTTTATTCATCCAACACTCTCTTATTTGAGTTGATGTATCACAAGGTTCCTTGTACGTATATTTTAAAAAAAGTATGCAGAAGCTATAACACTTGCATAACATGAATCCAATAACAATTTCAAACAATAAAGTTTCCTTAACTTCTTCTACCTTTCAATATCCATTCAAGCACATACAAGTGAGGAATATTGTCAAGAAGAAGAATAATGATCTTAGTAGTTATAGTTTGGTGACAAATCAAATTTCTTTTTAACATTTTTTTTCCAGATTTTTGTAGTCTAAATCCAAAAGAGATAGTGGGCCTGGAACCCCTCTAACCAACACTAGGGGTAAAATGGTCAAATTTTGAAAAAAAATAACTAAGGTGCCAAGCATAAACATGACATTACACAATTCTCTAAATCAAGCATCAATAAGAAGATCAAGACTCTATGAGCGCAACACACAACATGATAAAACAACCCCCAATGGAAAAATTGACAAATCTTATAACAAATATGAAGATTCTATAAACCAACAAAATTCTAGTAACCCCACAGATCATAATTTCAACGGTACGTCACATAAACTAAACATATAACATGTGTTTATCCAAAAACTAGGCTTAGGAACAATAAACAATGGTATAATTACAACGTATTAAAATTCCTACTCATTTGAGAGAACATAGATATGAGTAAAAGAAATTACCAATTGGGTGAAGATTTTTCACTACGTGCGTGAATATAGTAGATCGTGGAATTGTGTGTTTATTGGTTTTGATCAATAGAAATAAAAGAGGACATGGTTGTTATATTTGGCGTGTGATTAGAATAGAAGAAGAAATGGATTATCACAGACTTTGATTTAAAAAAAAAAAAAAAAAAAAAAACGATAGATAAGAAATTTTTTAGAAGTATCTAAGAGCTTTTAGGTAAGGGAATATGACTTATCAAGGTAATTAACTTTTCGGTATGTTCACATCTGGGTAACTATCTTTTTTTTGTACATATGTAGGTAACAAACTTTTTGGGAGTGTTCACATATGACCATTATGACCTGCTATAGCAGGTTAAATCCTAAATGTGAACGCTTTTAATAAGTTTGTTACCTAGATGTGTACAAAAAAAATAGTTACCCAAATATGAACAAAACGAAAAGTAAAAATTAAATTACATGAATGGTCCTTGTAGTTTGGGGGAATTTGTGGTTTTGGTCTCTAAGTTATTTTTTTAAACTTAAATGGTTCCTATTGTTTATTTTTGTTGCGCGTTTGGTCCCCATATTACCTAAAAATACTATTGTGCTCTTATTAATTTATTTTTTAATTAATTTTCTTATCTATGTTTATTTTTTACATATTTATAAAAATTAATATACCACACATATTTGTATCTCCTCGGATGATCCCTACTATTTATTTTTTAATTAATTTAATTTTTTAACTCGGATGGTCCCTACTATTTAATTTTGTTACGAACTTCGTCTCTGTCTTACCTAAAAAGACTATTATGCCCTTATTAATTTTTTTAATTAATTTTCTTGTTTATGTACTTATGCTTTATATGTTTAAGAAAAATTAGTAGACCTCACATATCTGTATCTCCTCACCATCCCATCTTTCATCATTCTCAACTTCTATTTATTTTTCATCTTTAGTGATATCGACGTCTTCATCATCACTTCTTTTTTCGGTCCTTCAACTCTGTCGAAACAACACTACAACCCACTAAATATGAAGAGACAGTAGGTTATGGTGTTGGTTCTCCAGAGTTGAAGTACCAAAAAAAAGGACGGTACGTTGATGTTACTAAAGATGGAAAAGAAATAGAAGATGGGGAGGATCAGAGATAAGATGGTGAATGGTAAGACTCAAATTAAATTTCTCAAATGTGATTTCAGGTTTACGGTGATAAGATACATATATGTGGGGTATATTAATTTTTTTATAAAAAAGAAATACATAAATAAGAAAATTAATTTAAAAAATTAATAAGGGAAAAATAGTATTTTTAGATAAGACAGAGACCAAACGCGTAACAAAAATAAATAGTAAGGATCATCCAAGTTTAAAAAAAAATTAATTAAAAATAAACAGTAGAGATCATCCGAGGAGATACAAATATGTGTGGTCTATTAATTTTTTTAAATATGTATAAAATAAACACATAGATAAGAAAATTAATTAAAAAAATAAATTAATAAGGGCACAATAGTATTTTTAGGTAAGACGGGGACCAAACGCGCAACAAAAATAAATAGTAGGGATGATTTAAGTTAAAAAAATAAATTAGGGACAAAAACCACAAATTCCCCCAAACCACAGGGACCATTCATGTAATTTAATTTTTAATTTTCATTTTGTTCATATTTGGGTAACTATTTTTTTTGTACACATCTAGGTAACAAACTTGTTGAAAGAGTTCACATCTAGGATTTAACCTGCTATAGCAGGTCATAATGGTCATATGTGAACACTTCCAAAAAGTTTGTTACCTACATATGTACAAAAAAAAGATAGTTACCCAGATGTGAACATACCGAAAAGTTAATTACCTTGATAAGTCATATTCCCTTTAGGTAAAAACCATTTTAAGTGGCGTTTCCAATATAATTGAAGTTTTTTGCTTACCCCAAAAGCTAGAAGTTATTACTAACGAATAAAAAATTTTCTTTGTTTTTCTTAAAAGTTAAATGTTAAAAACGATAAAACGACAAGAAACATTTTTCCCACATTATTGGTCCAGCCAAAGATTAAATTAGAAATGAAATTTCGAAGTCTTGATATTTTATGTTCCAACCAAAAGTTGAAATTTCTCGTTCATAGAAAAGTATACGAAGTATATTATTACGGTTTGAGTTTAATAAAAATAACTTATATGATTTGACCGATTTGGGATAAGAGAAGGAAAGCAACATATAAATATCTGAACCATTGTAGATATTTTGTACTAAATAATTTGATCTAAAATAAACAAAAGTTATTGAATTTGTATATGTGTAAAATAATAATTATCCGTAAAAAAGTATTACTTAGTTTTATCATTTTACCATTTTTTACAAAATCTTTAGCCGCTCAATATATTTATGTTAAATGTTTGATATCGTTGGAAACTCGGACATAGGATCCTTAAATTTTTTGCTGTTTGAGATTTAAAATTTGAACGAATTTATTATCTAATTAACTTTGATATAAATCATAGCTCATAGTGTTAACATGTTCTTATTCCTATTATAAGTTCTTGATATTGTAAACGCAAATCAATCATTAATAATATCTAAATATATATAGAAATTAAATATCTTCTTATATTTTATTTTTATTTATTTTCTACCTTATCAAATATTAACATGTATCATATTTAATTATATATTTAATAAAATTAATAATATTTTAGTCCACTTGTCAGTATTTAATGTGAATATGTCAACATTTACCGTGGATAAAAAGATAGTAAAAATAAAATATAGAAGGATTTTTAATTTCTCAAATATATGTTTTAACTATTAGTATATAAAATTCATATATAATACTAAAAACAAGTTGTCCTTGTTAAGTTGAAAAAATACTCTGTAAATCAATAAAATAATAAAAAAAATACAACTAAGTGATTAACGTTTATATCCTAAAAAAAACCTTCATTCAGAAAATATTAACGAAAAAAAAATATAAAAATTATCATGAAAAAACCGAACATAAAATAGTAGCTAGGAAAACTACAAAATGCGAAAACCAATTAGCAGAGGAAGAGCAGCAGTTTGAGGGGGACAAAACGGCGCCGGTTGGTGGAAGGTGTCGGCCCACCCTGTACCTCCAGCTAAGACTCTGTTGGCTAATTGGCCACTGGGACCCACTTCCGCTCCTAGTGGCTACCGCTTATTGCCTGCATGGTTGACACGTGTCTCTTACCCTCTGTTGACCGCCGTTATTTCTTCAATACCTTCGGTCTTTTTCTTATTCATTTACTCACCTGCATCAAATTTACAGCTATACCCTTGATTTTATTCCAGCCAAGAATATTCCTACAACAAGAGAAGATATTTATAGATAATAATTTTCAATATATATGAAAAAAATACAAAAATCACTAATAACGATTAAAATGCTTGATGTACTTTCTTACCAATTTGTTTTTTATTCTTCCTAATAATCGTTACTTTCAATTTGTACACTTTCAATATAGTAATAATTCAAATTAAATATGTTATTTTATTATTTCTTAGAAGGATATTAATCTATTTTTAATAGTTACATTAGCTTTCATTTTTTTTTTTTTTTGAAAACTGCAAATATATATAGCTTCAGGTAAATATTGTTTCATTTTCAAATGAGGTATTTAAAGTGCAATTAATAATATTTAAAGTACAATTAATAATATGAAAATAAAAAACAATAATACACATCAAACAACTAACACATTTATAAGATCAGCACCAATAAACAAATATGCACCTTTAAATTTAATATAAAAATTATCCTCAATAATGGGAGCTAGCTAGGTGTAGTAGATGAATATTTGTTGAATTGTTCCCTTTGAATTATCTTTTTACCTTAAACAGTATCCATAAAAAGTTTATGCTGACAACTTTTTCTTCCAAAAATGTTTTTTAAAAATAACTTTGAAAACGAAATAAGTAAAGGAAATAATTGCCTCAAGTTTTCTGCTAAACTTGCACACCCTTTTCCCATCTCTTGTTTTTCTGCTTATTTTCCATCAGTTTTTTTTCTTCACACAACCAAAAAAAAAATATAAAAATCATGTCTTCAGGTTTGTATAATCACAACTATTCTCCAGCAAGAGCTGTATCTCCTCAGATTAGAACTAACGGAGATGCTGATAGGTTCGTGAATTCATATGCTTAATCCTTCGTCATGTTTCATGGGTTTTTGAGTTTCATTTTTTTTTTTCAATAGAAAACTTTGTGTGCTGTTTAATCTGTAATTAGGTTTCTTTATTTTGATGTTGTTTTGGTATTACGATTTACGCAGTCAGTACTTATCTGAATTATTGGCGGAACATCAGAAGCTTCAACCGTTTACGCAAGTTCTTCCCGTATGCACCAGACTCCTGAATCAAGGTTTGATTCTTCTAGATTTTAATTTCTAGGGTTTATGATCTTTGAGGTTTTTATCTTTTTAGGAAGATCCACTTGTATTTGCTTTAAACATGAGTTGAAATTGACTATCTGTTTGAAACATCAAACATGGAACAACCCTGTATCAGGTAAAGAACACTAACAGAAAGAGGATTGACCATTTTGCTCGAATTGTATGCCCACCAAAAAACTTAACTTGTTGACCATTTTGCCCCTCTATACGCCTTTTCTAATGCAATCAATCCCCATTCTGTCATTCCATTGTGGACTTTGTTAGCACAATTCTTCTTAGACAATTTCCAAGATACATGAAGAAATGTGCTCTTTATTTAATTTGAGTCTTGAAATAGTATCACAACAATATTCAATTCTCAAATTTTCCTATAATTAAGCTTTTAACCATTGACTTGAACATCATTTATTTCAGAATTAATGAGGGTTTCTAGTATGTTACAAAACCAAGGGTATAATGAGCTTGAAAGAATGCGACATAGAAGCCCAAGCCCCATGGCTTCTTCAGATCTCATGTCGCAAATTCCAGGTGGTTGGAATGGTTTTCCACAGGAGGTAATTAATTAATAATAATAATTTTACTCATTCAGCTCTAAAACTTCTCATTTCCTAAATAAATATTTGAAATTATAATGTTATGTCAGAGGTTAAGTGGAATGACAATGGATTGGCAAGGAACTCCAGCAAGCCCTAGTTCATACACAGTGAAGCGAATCTTGAGGTTGGATATTCCCGTTGATACCTTCCCAAATGTAAGCTTAATTTCATGATTCAAAAAAAAAAAAAACTTGAATTTTTAGATCAAAAGATATAAATGGGGAAAGCGAATGACATGTTTTTGTTCTTTGGATTTTAGTTTAACTTTGTTGGCAGACTTTTGGGACCTCGAGGCAATTCACTAAAACGTATAGAGGCTACAACCGGGTGTCGTGTGTATATAAGAGGAAAAGGGTCAATCAAAGATCCTGATAAGGTTCTTTTTTTTTTTTTCATATGCTTCTTATATCATAAAATTCAAAATTCCTTGATTCTAATCATTGCTAAATTTAACGATCTATAAAGGAAGAGAAACTAAGGGGAAGACCTGGATATGAGCATTTAAACGAGCCACTTCACATCTTGATTGAGGCTGATTTGCCACCAAGTGTTGTCGATTTAAGGCTAAGGCAAGCTCAGGAAATTATCCAGGAGTTGCTAAAACCAGTGGTATTATTTCTTTTCTTCTACTTTGACTTTTAACTTTTAAGTATTGAATTGATTTGACCTAAAAAGTCAAACATTTTTTTTCTGATTACAGGATGAATCAGAAGATTACATCAAAAGACAACAATTAAGAGAGCTAGCGATGCTAAATTCGGGTTTGAGAGAAGAGAGTCCTGGACCAAGTGGAAGCATGTCACCATTCAATACAAGTGGCATGAAACGCGCAAAAACTGGACGTTAGTTGGGCCCCACCTTTCTGTTACAATTTACATACACACCCTCATATATATTGCATGATTTTTTGAAAAAAAGAAATGAAATGTATAGGCTGACCTGTGAGTTTTGAGTTTGTTATTCAATTTTATATTCATTTTTTGAAAAAAAAAAAAAAATAGAACGATAGATATAAAATGGAGTGTAAAGCGTAGTAGAGTAAGGGATGTTTTTTTTTTTTTTTCTTGTTTATTGGGTGATTTGATTCTTTGGATTTATTCATGTGTTAGCACAAACATATGACTACTACATTGTTGTCTCATATATGTTATGCTATATGCTATTTGATTCAAATGACAACAAATCAAAAACCTTGTAAAGAGAAAGCACAAAATCACAATAAGAGTTTATTAAAATCTTCTCTACCATGTTGCAATGTACAACAAAATACATTGATCTCAACTCTCACATCATAATCATACTTTTTTCTATACACATAGATATACAATTCCTATTTTCACCTTTGTGCAAAATTTGAATTTGTTTGTACATCAACGAGGATACACTAAGGGGCTACCACCACTAGTAAGATCACTACTTCCTTGAACATTTGATGAGCTATACAAAGAAGACATTGATGATGATTCCACAAAGTAGTTTGAATCCGGATCCAACAACTCATTTTTTGGCATCTTTTCAAGTATTTGCTCCAACTCCCTCACCACATCCAACATACTTGGCCTTTTCTCAGGCTTATCCTTGCAACACCAAAGAGCCAAAAGTACAAACTTCTCAATACATTCAGAAGGGTATGAACCCATTCTGCTGTCTACAATTGAGAACATCGTTCCTGTTTCATGAGCTATTTTCACCTGAAAAAACAAACCCACATTTTCATTTTCTTATATCCATTTGAAGATCTTGATATGTGTTGAAAAAACAAATTAAGCATACCTCACGAACGATGTTTTTGCCATGTGATATTGGCTTCATACTAGTCAAGATCTCTAAAAGCACAACTCCAAAGCTATAAACGTCACTTTTGTCTGTCAACTTATGGGTTAATAAGTATTCAGGATCAAGGTAACCCTATTATAAACATGGTGGAAGTTAGATATTATATCATCAAATCTAACAAAGAGAATTTAGAATAACAAATGTTATTAAAGAATGACAACTTACGGGTGTTCCTCTAACAAGTGTGGATACATAGTTAGGCCCAACTCCATTGTCATCCAAGATTGGTGCGAGTCTTGAAAGCCCAAAATCAGCAACTTTTGCAGTCATTTTGGAGTCGAGAAGAATATTGCTTGATTTGATATCACGATGGAATATTGGTGGATTGGCTTCTGTGTGAAGATAAAGAATCCCTTTAGCTGAGTTCAATGCCACGTGTAACCTCATCCGGAAGCTCAAAGATTCTCCAGATTTTGCTGTGAATTTTGTAAATTGTTATCAAATTCATCTTTTTTTGATATGTTAAAAGATTGGATCTAAAAAAGTTTCATACCATCAAGCCAATCACGCAATGTTCCTCTAGGCATGTACTCATAAACAAGCATCTGCATACGTGGGGCCCACAACACTCATTCAGTATTTTATCCATTTAGAACTTTATCCATATAAAACCAAAAGAATGAATACCTGTTCCTTTTCCTCATCACAATATCCAAGAAGTGAAACTAGGTTTCGGTGATGTAATCTTGACAAAATCTCTATTTCTGTTAAAAATTCCTTTTCACCTTGTAATGATCCTTCTTCTGCACGCTTTATAGCAACCATGGTGTTATCCCATAATACTCCTTTATAAACTTTCCCATAACCTCCTCTCCCCACAAGACTCGAATTACTGAAGCTTTGAGTTGCAATCGCCATTTCTCTAAAAGTGAAGCTTTTAACCCCATCGATTTTGATGGAAAGTTTCGCAACTGCAAACATTTAACATCAGATTAATCGGGTGAACGATAAATTTAAAGTTTTTGTATCAAAAACTTACGTAAAGATTTTCTTGATGATGTATGCTTGTATCTCTCGCGTCGTTTCTTGATCACAACAGTAAGTATTGAAGAAATTGCTAAAGCGCAAACGACTCCTATAACTACAGTTGTTACCACAACGCCCTTGCTTATACCGTTGCTCGGTGTTTCAACATTCACTACAACAATAAAAACACAATGTGAGATTACAAAAACACGACAAACTAGTTGCAGATATGTAATTAATCATCCGACATGAATATGAAAAGCTTACAGTGTGAATAAGGTCCAAGAAGAGTGAAATTGAGAAGCTCATAGGGTCCAAATAAGTGGCTTCCAGGAAATACCCATGTTGTAAAAATGCCTTTGATACGCAAAACATCACTTGTACTGAATGTACTTGAATGATCCATGCCAGCTTTAGGGAAAAGTTTAAGATGCATCCTTAAACGAGGTCCTTTTTCCCACATAATCGAGTCGATAGATAGTTGGTAGAACTCCAAATCGAGAGCACCAGTGACATATGTTTCGAATTGCTCATGATATGGTGGAAAATAAGAAAAGCTTGGACTTTTTAGGCGATACCCGATTCTAAGAGGTGAAGCACAAAAACAAGGAATTGGGGATTCTGGAACATATTCAAAGTAATTGTCTGTAGGGCATGATTGAATTGGACAATCGGTTGCGTCTTTTGAAATGGAACGCATGTATTCTCCATAATCTTTTGGCCCACAGAATTCATCTTTGTTTTGTATGCTTGAATTTCGACAAATTGGATTTCCATTTAGCCTAATAAATATATAAATCAAATTCAATCATTCGATTAGCGTATATACAGATAAACTCATACAATCGTTTGTCGAAGTATATGAAGATGGCATACCTTAGGCTAGCATTAACAGGTGGATTTAAAACCCCAGTAACACTTGAAAAAGAATTATTACGGAAATCACTGCATGTTTTGAACACATGATCAAGAAATGAGTAACAAAAATTTTTAAAAAATAAAAAAAATGCTGTATTTCTTACAGTAAAAGTTTTGAGGTTGCAGTAAATGATTTATTCTGCCATAGCTTAGGGGAGATGGAACCATCAAGAAAGTTGTTCTCTAAGGACCTGTAATCATACAATATGGAAACAGAAATGTTAATTTTTTAATGAGAATGGAAACAAATTAAAGAAAAAAAAATCAAAACCCTCACAGTTTTTGAAGAGAAGGAAGATCTGAAAAACTTTCAGGAATAGATCCATTTAACTGGTTATCTGATAAATCACTGCACAAAGTAGTAATTCAATAAAAAAAGCCCAGAAATAGGATGATGTAATACAATGGAAACATCTTTGAATTTGAACTTACATAGTTGTGATACTGTTTGAAAGCTTATTTGATGGAATGGATCCAGTGAGTCTATTCTCGCTTAGATCTCTGTTATATTAACCAAACATCAGCTAATTATAAGATAAGAAGAGGGGGGGGGGGGGGGTGCTTACATATAGCTAAGATTCTGTATTCTGCTAAGATCAGGCACAACTCCTTGCAAGCTACAGTTTCTAAGGCTTCTGCAACACAAATTCAAAAGTTTCATTTATTTGTTTATATGAAGAATCATTATCATTATCTTGTATATGAAAAAAAGAAGAGGATGTTTTTTGAATAGAACTTACAATTTCACTATTTTTGATAGATTTCCAAATGAAGCAGGAATTTCGGCTCCATCAAAGTGATTGTTATCAAGCTGACTGAAAGATAGAATCAACAATAAATGAGCATTTATGATATAACTAATTCATTATGATCTAAATATTATCTTACACTATCCGCATATTTGGAAAATTTCCAAATTCTGATGGAAGATAACCGGATAAGTTGTTGTTGTCCAGAAGCCTATGAATAAATATGGCATAAAAAGTTTAGATAAAAAAAATATGGAGAGAAATGACAAGACGTGAAACAGGTTGTACTGTGTTTGACTGGGACTGACACAGATGTCAATGAGATAAAAGCTACAATTTTTGCCCCACCCAAAAAGATGGGACAGAGACTCGCTCTTGATCTCTCGTCAGTACAAAAGACGTGAATGCCCTTATCATATGAAAGGAAGAGAGAGAAACATGCATATGATGTTACTCACAAGTGCATTAGAGTAGATAAGTTGGAAAGTTCCAAAGGAATTTGACCACTTAACGAGTTGTTGTTGAAATGGCTGAAAAATCAACAAAAAATGTTATTTAATCACATAAACAAATACATACTCCAATAAAATCTACTCTTGTGATCCACTTACATGTGTTTAATATTGTTCAAGTTTGAAAATGATTTGGGAATTTCTCCAGATATATGGTTTTGATCTATCTGGAATCTATCTAAATTCCTAAGATACCCAAGTTCATCGGGTAAATTGCCACTTAATCTGTTTCCATTCAGAAGCCTGTGAAGATTGCAATAGATAGAAATTAGGTCATAATATTAACAACAAACACGAATTAATAAAATCTCATGATTAAATTTTACTTACAAGAGTACCAAAGATGAAATATTTCCAATCTCCTTGGGTATACTTCCACTCAAGTCATTCCACATGAAATCTCTTCAATAAATAAAACACAAATCGGAGTTAATTCATCACCCAAAGAAACAAAAAAGTGCATAAATTTATTATTTTTCATCTTTTGACTTACAATATTGTCAGATGAGAAAATTGGCCAAGTTCAGGTGCTAAACTTCCTGAAAGATTCATGTTTAGTAGTTGTCTGTAAACAAAAGAAAAATGAAAATAGAATCAAATAAGCCGATTTGCAACAACAACTAAATAAAGAAACGTGAAAAATAAGACATGAATACATACATTTCTTGAACATGTAAGTATTTATCAACATTGGATTTATGAACACATATAACTCCTGTCCAATTTGATGTACATGGATCCCCTTTATTCCAATTTCTAAGATGATTCAGTGGATCAACCAATCTACCTCTCACAGCAAGCAATGCAGAAACTATATATAAAATAAATCAAAAAGAAAAAAAAAAAAAACATCAAGAGTCTAGAAGCAAGAAAATGGATAACCTTTTAGTCAATTAATGATGGTAGAAGACATGAATATGAGACAATAAACAATTTGAGCAGACCTTCAGAAGGATCTGTAACTTTTGCAACAGAAATCGTCATCAAGAATTGAATTATCAGCGCAAAAACACACCCGCATGATTTGAACTTGAATCCCATTATCCTGAAATTATTTTCCAAATCCAAAGACAACCAAAATTCGATAAAACAACAGAAAACGATTTCAATACGATGCTAAAAAGCTCCAGAAAGAAAATTGTGTTGTTGGATTTCGTACTTCAATCTTCCACATGATCTGAATCTGAACCCCAGCATCTCGAAATTCTATCTCGAATCGATTACTTCCAGTTTACTTGAGAGAATCGCAAAAGAAACACAAAAGGGTATCAATCAATCAATCAGACAAATTGCGAAGAAATCTCAGGAAGAATCCGTAGATGGATGTAACATAATACTTTATCATGGAGTTTAATTCACAGATTTGTTGAGTTCATCAAGTTCATACAGAGAATAAAATCGAAAAGATAAAAACAACTCGTAATGTTTACATGTCAACGACCTTAAGCTTTACTACTCTGTGAAAAAAAGAATCAGAACCTAATAATAAAAAAGGGTTGGCAATAATTTGTTTATGATAACCAATCTTTGAATAATCTCCATTGTCCAAGTAGTCAAATATCAAATTGTCAGTGTGTTCACACGCCATAGTTGTATCTTTTTTTAATTTGACACATGAAATGCATGAAATTTACCTGTATGCATCGCCATTAAAAGAGTGATAGTAGAATAATCAGCATTCACTTCGATAAAGAAAGAAGGCAATTGTGGTAATGGTTGGTGGAATTTTGCCGATAAGTGATATCCATTAATACACACACAAAAGAGGAAAAGACAGATTGTGTATTTGTGTGTGTGTTTTTCTGCTGCTGACGCAGTCAAGATTGTTTTATTTGTTTGTTGCTTCAGTTTGAGTCGTTGATATTGCGATGATGAAGTAAGGGGATTCGTCATGTTTCATGAAGGCAAGAGTGGAGTTATGTTGACTTATCTTTTCTACATTTACTGAGGTTTTGGTTCTTTGGCCTTTGGGTGTTTGCAAGGATAAATACAAGATCCCATTGTTTTTGTTGTTGACCCATTGTGTATTTACATGCTTTTATATTTTTCAAAAAAAAAAAAAAAAAAGATGGAATATTCGATCTTCTCTTATTAAACAAAAGTAAGAAAAGATATATGAAGTTAAAAGTAAAGTATTTTTCATTTTATGAGGACATTATTTATAGTAATTTAGGTATTGGTTATCTATGTCTCGTAAAAGGTGTTTAGTGGTTTTTATTAGTCAAACATCATGATTAGTATTCGAATGATTGAACGTGTTTACTCTACTTTAGATAGTGAAGAACTTAAAAGACAAGATGGATCATGAATGACAATTTATCATTTTTTATCAAATTAATTACATAAAAGATCTAGCATTATCTTATTTTCTTCCTGGTTAAATCTGTTTTTTTTTTTTTTCAATCCTCATACTTAACCTACTTTTTCATGTTGGTTAGCTTATTAGGTAAGTTATGGTACTTATAAGTTTTTAAAAGAAAAACAAAATCTCTCATATTCGTGAGAGTTATTCCCGAATGACGACAGGCTTTACGAAAACTTTTTTTCTAACATAAAATCGTTATATTATTAAGGCTGTGTTCGGCTTTTGAGAGCTTTTAAATTTTAGTTTTTAACAAAAAATTCAGATTAAAAAAATAAAAATAAAAGTTATGTTCACAAGTACAAAATATGCAACATACTAACATAGTGTAGCTAATATAATCAAACCTAACAAACAACACTCATATATCGACCCAAAAGCATCTACATTCCATTCACCTGACAGAAAATCGAATAAAATGCCAATAAGAAGAGAGAGAATATATTTTTCAATCAATTTTTAAAAAGTCAATAAAATTGCATTAAAATTGTATTAGAAATTCATTTTCAACTCCCATTACAGATACTCTAATGTTCCAATGAACATAAATAATATATATAGCATAGGCTAACAACATAAGTTATCAATTTCCTATCAAGGGTTACGAGATGTCACACATGTCACATTTCATCAAAAAGTCCACCTAATATAAAATGTCATGATAAAATTGTTGTGGACGCGTTCTTACAAGTTGCATTGATTTTTTATGGCAAAAATACTTGATTTGAAAAGTTTAATAATCTTAAAGGGTTCTAATAAAAATATCATGCAAAACATGATGATTTTATTTTATTTATTTATTGTTATTTTTTATTATTATTATATATATATATATATTTTTTTCAAAAGTAAGTGCTAACCATAATGATAAATTTGCCGTATAAGATATGAAAAAAAAGTGTGAGGGAAAGTAAATTATTTTATTTTGGGCTGCATGTTTATCTCTATATATAGGATGATAGAATTATGTTTTTCACATTTTTTACAAAAATTAACTAGGTATAAGTGCTAAAGGAAAAGAAGCTCTAAATTTATCCATATCAGATTATTAATGTTTCTTTTAAATGTAGCAAGGAATAATAATCGAGATGTACATTGGTGGTTTTGGATAGGATTTGAGTCGGTCTAGAAAAAATATAGTTTTTTTTACCGAATCGGTTTCAGATGGTTTCGGACTGTTCTCTCTCACGGTTTTTGCTTGAGCCTTTTTCAGTCTGATCTCACGGTGTTTCGTTTCGATTTCAATTTTTTCTGTTAACAAATATATGATTAATACGAAAATGATATACTAAAATTTAATAAAAATGATAAACTAAATTTTAATAAAATAAAGGAAGAACTTGGTAAATATGTGATTAAAATTTTAAAACATATAATATAAACAAAAATTATGTACATAAACTTTCGCTTCCTGGTTTTTTAAACTGTTCTTAGGTCGATCTCGAAATGGTCCGTTTTTTTTTTTTCCAAACCAATTTGTTCTTTTTCAGACCGGTCCCGGACTGTCTCAAATTAGTCCGATCTATTTTGGGTCTAATTTCATTTTAGAGAGATTCAATATCATTCTTTTTTTAGGAACGGTCCGAAAGTGTTCGATCATCGAGTAATTTAAGGAGAAATAGCTTTTTGGTCTCTTGAGCTCTTTTCCTTTGTTCTAAAAGAAAAAGAAAAAAAAAAATCAAACGGGCTAATTAATGATAAGTATAATTTCCTAGTTTGTGCCTTTGTGTGTCGCTCTAAATTTTAGCGGTGTACTTATATTCTCAACAAATATATTTTAATAATTTTTAATATGAAAAATGGGGTGGATGGCGACGACCCGACGAGTCTCATGGTGTCATCGGACCCTCATGTTTTAGAATTTACATACAAAAAGAAAATTAAGTGAGAGTTATTAACTAGCAGAAATCCTCCATTATTGCTTTAACATAACTCATGTAGTTGAAACCAATAGACAATTGTCATGGATCTAGGAATCGAATTCATTGATTAAAGTAAATAAATAAATAAAGAATAATATATCACCGAGTCTACTCTCTTATGAAACTCACTAAGCTGCTTATTTATCACTTTCCCGCTTATGCATTGAATGTTATTTGCACCTCAAATATGACCAAATATTCAAGCCCTGCTCGCTCTTATTCCTTAAAAAGGGTCTTGCGAATCTGCATCAAAAAAATATATATATATATATAAACATACATATCTAGTCAAACAAGATGTACGTCTCCTTAATTTCGACAACAAAATAGTAAGATTTTCATAAATTAGTAATGAGAATCTATCTATCTATCTGTCAAAATACCTCAGGAAGCTTCTTCCTGAAAGTAAGATCTAGTCGCGCATCAAGGGTGTTCTCGAAAACAATCTTCCCATCTATTGAAGCTAACACAACGCCTCCACAGCTTTTAAAACAGCAACAAAACTAGTATAAGTTATAGTGCCCATAACATAACATAACATAACTCACATGCATGTTTGTATTAATATGTATAGTTGAGGGACTAATATGTCATTGATGTATACTTGGAGGTGAATGATAATTATTACCAGGAAGGACGATGAGGGTCTGAACTATTTGGAGGTGGTGGGAGATATACAGTTTTGTCGAGGTCAATTCTTGGAGCCTGAACTTTTGCTTTGGAGGCATACTCTTTTTTGGCGTCCTCTAAAGTCGACTCAACAAGCGAAAGATCCACCTCCCTACACCTCAACAACACTGCTGGCTCACTCAGCCTTAGTAGACTCTGCATATACATATGCATCCTCAAAATAATTAAGTTACGTATATATAAAAGTACATATTTTAATGATTAATTAAACTAGTAAAAGATTCCTGAATTAATTAAGTTACCTGAACAATCAAGCTTTGGATAAGCTTTTTGTATGTTTTTTTGTTATGAGAAACATTAAGAAGCTCCTTGGCAGCAGCATTTTTCATCCCATTTACCAAATCGTCTTGTGCTTGAAGAACTTTGATACGGGATGCATTCAACTGCATTGAGTATTCACTGCAACAACCATTAATTAATTACTCACAAAGTCACACTCACTTCTCATCTACATATATACCAATTTATACTTTATAGTTATATTAAATGAGATCTATATATTTAAAAGGATGCAAACGTACTCACATTTTCTTTTTAACCTCCACTTGTTTTGTCTTGCGTTCGTAGTCCTGTCTGATTTTCTTCTTCTCGGTGTCAACTATTTGCATTTTCTCAATGTTGAATTCCTATAAAGTATACCATAGGCATGCATAATGATAAAAAGATTATATATCAAAAAAGCATGTTTATGGAAATTATATATGATCAACTATGCTCCAAAAAGAAAGTAATTAACTTGCATGCACGTCAAGCATCGTTGACACTTAAGTGTTGAAAGGGAAAATAACACATTCATGTCAACCTCTTATGTAAGATTTTCATGAACAACGAAATAACAAATCACACAAGATTTGTCTGGGTTATTTGTCCAATACCCGTCAATAATTACGTACGTAATGTGGTATAACATTGTCAACCAATCGTCATCAAAATTTTCTAACTATGATATCGTCAAACATGAAAAATATTTGATAGATGGATTTATATTGTGATTACATATTTAAGGATTAACCATCATCAATATGTAGGGTTCCATGGGGAATATTCAAATTAACATTCTCTTGAAAATTGAAAAAGAACCCACGTATTAAAACCATCATTTCTATGTATCAATTTAAGAAAGGAAAAAGAAACGATCGAACCTCCTCAGAGGAAACAGAGATCTCGTTGGCTTTCTCTTCGGCTTCTTGCCGAATGAATGCAACCATCTGTTGTATCTGTTTGGATACATCTGCGTCATTCATCTTTAATTCTCTTTCGAAATCGAAAACAAAACAAAAAACAATCCCGCTTGTTAATATGAACAAATCTCTCAAGCGATTGGAATGTATGAGATGCAAGGGAAGTTGGAGAGGAAGATCATCATCAATCAACATAGGCTTTTTGTTTTAATCGAAAAGTGTTACATGAACAGTCCTTACACTTGTAATTATGTTTCATATACTCCCCTATTGAATATAAATATCTATTCGAGTCCCATTCTCATTATTTTGTATCAATTTAGTGTCTGCAAACGTAAGATAACTTGTCTGTTTCTCACATGGCACAAGAACAAAAGAAAATATGTCATTTAAACCTCCGCTCATATATATATATATTTTATTTTCAAAAATTATATATTTCTCAAAAACTCCAAATGTTTTGGTTATTTTATCTTTTTTTTTTTTTTTCAATTTCCACGTATATATATATATATTTCTTACTTAATAATAAAAATTAGTTGTTCAATTGCAAGTTCTTTATTAGAAGCTCCGAAAAGCTTATCATAATTTTATATTGGTAATTTTTATTTCGATGGAATGATATATATAATTTGATGGTAAGTTAAGGGACGATTTTGTATTTAGTTTATAGTAGGAATGAGGATCTATGTAATTTGATGGTAAGTTTATGGACGATTTTGTATTTAGTTTTCGTTTGTTTCCTAAAATTATGGGCTATATAATAGTGGTAAGAGTTGGACTTGGTATTGGTATGTGATTCCCTAAGCATGTTTTTATATTATTCATCCATTTGTTTTGAATTTGGCTTTGTGTATGAGAGTTTTATGTGATACGTTTTCTTCGAATTAATTTGGGTACATGTATGAGGTTTTTTTTTTTAATTATTAGTAACGATGGTAGTTATAAAAAAAAACATTATTATTAGTGTTATTTATTATATTATATTATGGTTTATATTGTACGATGTACACACAACCTTTTGAGAGTTTATATGTTTCTCCTCAACAGATCTCAGGAAATCATTTATATATAGAAACAATACAAAACCTTATTCAGTTTTTGTTAACCACAGATCTCAAGTCACCGGCCCTTTTCCTCTTGCTCTTTTAACCCATCGACTTGCAACTCTCATCTTCTTAATTATGTTTCTTATATCTTTGTTCTTGGAATAATCTTGTCGATTTTCTCTCTTGTAAAACCATATATGATACTACTTATGTCTTTTTTTTTTTATTTGGTTATTATTGATATTATGAAACAATGATTTAAATTGTCTTTTTTTTTTTTTTTTTTTTTTTTTTTTTTTGAAAGAGCGATTTAAAATTTCTTTTAAATTGCTAATAAACTCGATTTATTGTTTAAAAAGGTAAGGTTCATATGTTTTGACCTACTATGTTAATAGGTCATTTGCATATTTATTTTTTGCCAAAGTTTTAAACTTTATTACGAAGTTGGTCCGGATTTGTTTTTCCTACTAAGTTGTCCCAAAATTAAATTCTTTTTTTTTTTCAACAAAGTTTAAAACTTGGGCCATCTGAAACCAAAATAGTCAATCTTTAGAATCGATACCCAACCCATTAATTATAACCGGTCTAGGTTCGGTTTGATTCAATATGGACAAATGGTTCAAAATGTGAACACGAGTATCAATAATAATAATGATAATAATTTTGGCCCAAATCTTAGCCACTTTCTAAGTGATATAAAGTTTTTATTTATAGAATTATTATGGGTAAATTACACCAATCATCTTTTGATGTTTAGTTTTTATTATAAAAAATTAACTTGAGTTGTCCTTCATTTTATTAAAAGTTACAAATATCATCCCTTGTTAATTTAAATTTGTATGTTTCAGCGTTTGCAGACATGAAATGACTATTCTGTCATTTTTATTAATTTTTTGGTTTATTTTTTTCTTACAATTATTTATAAAACAAAAAAACCTACCCCACCTGCTTTATCCTAACCACTTCCTTTTAAACCTATTTCCCCTAAGCCACCAACAAACCACCAACGGAGAAGACATTATCTCGTCGGAGAAAAGAATTGTCAGGTCGTCACCCACCACCATCGACAGACCGCACCCCGTCTCTCTCTCATCCTCCTTCTTCTTCGATTAGAATACTCTTCTATTTTGTCCTTCTGCTTCGGCGTGAGTGGTTTTGTACCGTTTCATATCGTTACCACCGCCTGTAATATGAAGTCTTCGATCTTCGTTGTCACATGTACGTTTTCAACAATCTCTGTCAGCTAGGGTTTCGTCACATGTGCTCCCCCTATCGGCATCGGCTAGGGTCTCGACAGATATCATCGATCTTCGTCGATTTGGGTTTCAACAGATATCCATATCGATATATGCCTACATTGTGGATAAGATATGGAAACAATCGAGTTACATGGTCATAATCGAAGTCGACATGGGAGGTGATGGTTGGATGATGGAAGGTGCAAGGTAGAGACGATGGTGAACAGTGTAGGTTTCACCTTCACCTTCTCTTAATCAATCTCATATATATGTTTTTCTATCCCACACCCTTTGCCCCTCTATCTCTTAATTACATGTTCCTCTTCACCTTCTTCTTTCTTTTGAGCTACAAGTCTGATAAGGTGAAGATAAGTAGATAAGGTAGGGTAGGTGATGGTCTCTATGGTATTTTTTATGGAGATCGGTGGCTGTGAATGGTGATAGTGGTGGTGTTTTGTGAAAATTATGGTCGTTTGCATGATGATGGAGATGGGGAAATGAAAGGGGAAGGGAGGTATCGGAGTTTAGAGATGGGATAAAGAAGAGAGAGATAGAGGGAGATATATATACACACACACACACACACACACACTTAGGATCTCATACATCGTCCTTCTCACTCCAACATTGTTGGCTCTAAGTGGGTGTTTCGAACTAAGCTTCACTCAAATGGCACCATTGATTGGTATAAAGCTCTCTTGGTTGCTCAAGGTTTCACTCAGGTACCCATGATTGATTACTCTCATACTTTAAGTCCTATTGTAAAAGCTACTACTGTTAAAATTGTGCTTTCTTTTACCACCATCTACCATTGGCATCTTCATCAACTTGATGTTAAGAACACTTTTTTATATGACAATCTTAACGAACTAGTTTACATGGAACAACCCCCCCCCCCCCCAATTATATTGATCCTGCTCGTCCCTATAACATCCCAAAAATTCAAGAAAATTTAAAACTTTTTAAATCATTCAAAACCAGTAATTATTACAAACATGTTTTCAAAATGGTTTAATGTCAGAGGATCCCATAATCAAATCATAAAAACATAAGGGGCTGCACAATCACGCCTTCGCGTTCCCGCGATCATCAGAAGTACCTGAAACAAAATCAACAACTATAAGCTCGAAGCTTAGTGAGTTTCCCCAAAATACCAACGTTATACAATCATAATCATAATCATAATCATATTAACAAACAACATGCATAATGAGCCTTCAAACTGATTGGACCACCTCGCAGGCCTTCAGTCTATCTAGACCGCTCTCCGAGCCTTCGGCACGTCTGGACCGCCTCGCAGGGCCTACAGTCTATCCGGATTGGTCATCGGGCCTTCGGACTGACTGGACCGCCTCGTAGAGCCTTCAGTCTATCTGGACCGCCCTGTGTATGTTGGCTCAGCACAAAGCAGGACCGCCTCAACCCAACCCCCAATCAAACAAGCATGTGCACATAAATATCATATGCTAGCATATATAACAGTCAAACCGATCTAACAGATCACTAATCATAGCAACATCCTATAAACATGATACAAACCTAACCGGTCATTAACATAGCATCATCCTATATACCAGGATACCGACCTAACCAGGTCACTAAGCATATCACCATCCTAACTACCAGGATGTAAATTAATAAACATATCATTCAATAACCTGGATACAAATCCAAAGAGGGCCTGTATTGGTGCCTTCGACCATGTTAGTATAGTGAGGACAACTCACCTCTCAAGTAGTTTGGAACGAGAGTATCAAACTTGTAACACCCATAAAAATCATGCCAAATTTTAAACTTTTGAAAACATTTAAAAGCCAATAGTTATTACAAATTTGTTTTCAAAATAGTCTATATCAGAGTCTCCTAAAAACAAAGGCATAAAAGATGAGGAGTTGTACGATCACGCATTTGCCTTGCTGCGACCCCTGATGTATCTAAAACAATAAACTGAAACTTTAAGCCTGAGAACTTAGTGAGTTCCCGCAAAATACTCATACACACAATAATAGACATATAATCATAAACATCATACTATGGGTTCAGTCATCCTCGGGATGGAATACCCCAGGCCCACAACCAACAGGTTGGAATGCCCAGTTCTATTAGCTTTCGCACAAAGCTGATAAGCCTTAATCACCAAAAAACATGTGCACATATAACAGATAATCACATAACAATCTATAGACAAACAAACGATTTAATGGATCATACCTCACAATACCATCCTATCTACCAGGATACAGATCTAGCAGAATCATACTAGCATAACATATCCATATAACAATCCACAGGGCTGGCCTTAGTGCCTAAGACCCTTGAGTATAGTGAGGATAATTCACCTCGCAAGTAGTGCTGAAGTACTAAAAATCTCTGATTGCTATCTCAGCAAAATTCTGAACTATAACACAATAGATACTAATTCAATACACAAAATAATAGTCTTGACTACAGTCCACACAATCCATCATGCCCTTTCTCTCTATTGGGCTAAGGCCCAATGCCAAATCCAAAATCTTGAAGGTCCTTATGCAAAGCCTATTATTGGCCTAATTTGACCAAATTGGGCCTAATCCCAAGATCCATTATCAAAATTTGGCCCAAAACATCTTATTCATCAAGTACAGTAAAGGTCCAAATCCAATTAGTCTATAAACAGCCCAAACCCGAAGCCTAATTGTCAAAGGTCCAACAGAGGACGTACGCGGGGCGTACTCTTCTGGTACAAGGGGCGTACTCGCCTAGATGTTTGACCACCATCGAGGTGGTTGACCCAGTACACTGGGCGTACTGGATTTACGTTGGGCGTACGTAATGGTTTGCCAAAATCTTATTAAGTGCTTAATGGCTTAAGAACTTAAGCCCAAACTTCAGATCTAGTGACCTAACGTGCCTAGGACCCATAAAGTCACGA